GGCAGTGGAGAGGTTGACTGTGGGATAGGATCAAACAAATGCGAGGGAGAAGAGTAAAGCCAGTGTTTGCCAGCCAACCTTGAGCTGATGAAGAGGTCTAAGACACATGCCTCCCTCTATTTTTGTTTTTACTATCAAACTGGGGAGGTGGAGAGGAATACATCATATGGGAAAGGGGATGTTAAAAATTTTGAGAGAGAAAAATAGTAATATTTTGAGAACATTATTTGAATTCTGAGGTTATGGGCTTAATGTTAGACTAGCACTTTAAAGTGTTGGTGACTGCATTTGAAATTAGACTCGTAAAAATCTTCAAGCAGTTTGGAAAGCCAGAACTCCTGGGAAGCTCATAATTTTTCCAGCCACCCCACCTCCACCTACCACTACCAATGGGATCCAAGGCACAGCCCCTGCAATTGTTAAGTGTTGCAGGCTCCTCTCATTGACTTCCTGTCCTTGGATAAGAGAATTCGAATAAAAAATTTCCCAGTCTGTTTTTTCCTGTTACAGAAAGACCTCTCAAAAATACATTGGCAAATTGTTATCCTTCCATCCCTTCAAGGTCCTGAATTTCTTTTTTACAGTCAAATAGCCATCTCTACCCAGATCGATCTAATCTTAGACTTTTTGCAGAGCTGGATACGTCTTGTAAAGGCAGTGGCAAGGTTAACAAGTGTCTAGTTGTGGGTGGTAGTCCCTATTAATTGTTTTACCCTAAAAGAGACAGAATTTAGGGACAAGAAGCCAGTCAGCAAGCCAAAAAATACAACCATTACATTTGTGCAGCATTTTGCACAAATAATTTCCCATTTTTCTAATTTGATTCTCACAATCATCTGGTGGGGCAGATAAGGCAAATCTCCATCCAACAGCTGAAGACAGAGGTCACAAAGCACAGCAGGGGCAGAATGGTCTCAGAATACAGGTCTCCTTGAAGTCTGGAATCAGGATTTACCTTGAGAGACCACCACAGCCTTTGTCAAACTATGGGGGGTTGATACGCAGATGTCTGGAGTGTCCAAAAAGGGAGGGAAAGGAAAACAACCTGAAAAACTGACCTACAAGACAAAAATACATTTTATGTGGTATCAAATCATGTTCAAAAGTGGTCTTCTGGAATGCCTTCTCAATTATCTCCTCAAATATCTGAAATAGGACACTGCCTCTGTGTTTCAACTAATTTTTATTGCCACACATCCTATTTCTACATTCTGCATAAAGACTGAACACTTGCTTTCTTAGCTCTGAACTTTGGGAGCAAGGTAAGAAATGGGAAGAAAATAGTACTGCCTTTCATGGTCTTCCATATCTAGGACACACCCAAGAAGAGGAAGTTTTTGAACATTTCTCAGTCAGGGGAACATCACTGACACATGGCACCACTCTTTGATGCCAACTCTTCCCTCCTAATGGAAAATGATAATGAAAGTATTATGCTTCCTCTATTTTTGTGTTTCCCAAACTGCTGATACAATCCACTAAGAAGTTGTAAAAAATCAACTCAGCAGGCTATACCTGCATGTAAAGAATGCAAGATGTCAGAATAGAAAAATATCAGAGTGGATCCTTGAACATCGTAAGTTTGAACTGCACATGTCCACCTATATGTGGATTTTTCTATCTTGTAAAGATCACATAAACTTATGGTATGGATATAGGCAGTGCAGTAAAATTATTTTATCTTCTGTAAGATTTTCTTAACATTTTTTTCTCTAGCTTATTTTATTGTGTAAGTGCAGTATATAACACATATACAAAATATATGTTAATCAACTGTCATTGGTAAGGCTTCTGGTCAACAGTAGGCTATTAGTAGTTAGGTTTTGGGGGAGTCAAGTTGTACATGGAATCTTGACTGCGTGGGGGCAGGGGTGGATGGGCCAGTGACCCTAACCTCCATGCTGTTCAAGGGTCGCCTGTGGTTAGCCTGAGTTTTATTTTGTATATACGAATTTTATTAATTATATTTATGCATCTGTGTACTGCGTTATGACATTTCATACTTTTGTGGTATAAAGCAAAACTTCGGAAAGCCACTTATGTAGATAATGCATATACCTCAATCCCACATCTAGGCTATATCCTAAGACCCTCCACAGCACACTTTATTTCAACAATATGCAACATTTCCCTTTTTAGTGCTTCTCTATGAAGCAAGACTGATCTATATAGCCTGCTGTCACTGAGAAATATTTTGTACAGAAAGTTGTATTTGACAAAGTATGAATATTAACAGAATACAACAGACAGCAAGTGTTTTGGTGAAATATTATTGTATAGAGCCAGTTGTTAAATCAAAAAGCCAAATATGTCCTATCATTTCCCCCTAAATGTGTTAAGGTTATGTTAAAGCACATCTATACTTGTTTTTTCTACCCTATAATAAATCATATTTTAACAAAAATCAGCAAATGAAGCCCCCTCTGTCAAATTTCCTGCCTCATTACTTTCAGGCAAGTCAATACAGCAACATTTCAGAATAAAAGAAATCATTCTATCTCCTTGGCTTTGACTTTTGCTCCTTTCCCAAACACTGCACTTACCCTTTCACCTCATCAGGACTACCTTTTGATACACATCATGCATTAAATAGTTTTCAAAACCTAAGAAAATGTTATGACTGCTGGACACCAAGGTACATGCATGCTTATGAATAAGGTCTGTGGCTCTTCTAGCCATGACCCAGTCATAAAATACAAATAACTTGGTGATGGTTTGAGTCACTGAATTAAGCTTATAGGCCTTTTATTTCCACTTACCGAAGTCATTCTATTTCATCAATCTAAGATGACATTGGTTATAAGACTCAATAATATTTTATATACCATAGACAAGAGTAAAAAAAACCTCATTTAATTGATTTGGCATCAACTTATAATCCATAAGAATTTGAGGGATATTGTGAAAAATATGTGCATGTTTGAAGACATTAAATATGGTGGTTTGTTCTAAGGGCTATTGTCTCTTCTCACTGCTTTCCAAGTTTCTGTTGACATATTTCTAATGCAAAATTAAAGTTAATGGAACCATACTTTCTGGAAACCAACTGTCTTGGTGTCACTGCCTACCGAACATAGCAATTAGGTTAGTTTCTCAAGGTTAAAATTTCAACAGCTCACCAGAAACTTCACTGCTATGTCAAACAAGTGATCTTGGGAATGTGAATACTTGGTAAGAGAACAGAAAGAACAAGGTAGGCTGGAGAAAAGACATCAAAGCTGTTAACTGTTGTTATCAACATTCTAACTTTTGTAAATTTGAAAAACCTTATATTGTAAAGAAACAACTACCTATTCTAAGGCCTTAAAGAAAAAATCAAAAGACCTTATGAGCAGTATCTGAGATTTTTCTGCTTATCTTTTCTTCTAGGATTTTTATAGTTTCAGGTCTAACATTTAAGTCTTTGATCCATTTTGAATTCATTCTTGTGTGTGGTGTAAGGAGGTGGTCTAGTTTCATTTTTCTACACGATCTGTGCCATTTTCCCAACACTGTTTATTGAATAAAATCTGTTTAGCCCATTCTGATATATCTTCTTAGGCAAGGGAGACAAAAAAAATAAATAAATGGGACTACATCAAACTAAAAAGTTTTTGCACAACAAAGGAAACCATCAGTAAAATACAGCACACTAAATGGGAGAACATATTCGCTGATACACCTGATACATCTGATGAGATGTATCCAAAAATACACCAAAAATACCCAAACAATCCAATTAAGAAATGGGCAAAGGACCTGAATAGACACTTCTCCAAAGAGGACATACATATGGCCAATTGGCATATGAAAAGTTGCTCAATGTCACTAATCATCAGAGAAATGCAAATTAAAATCACAGTATCACCTCACACTTGTAAGGATTGGGTATTACCAATAAATCAACAAATATGTGTTGGTGAGGATGTAGAAAAAGGGGAACTCTTCCTGGCTGGCGTAGCTCAGTGGATTGAGCGCGGGCTGCGAACTAAAGCATCGCAGGTTCAATTCCCAGTCAGGGCACATGCCTGGGTTGCAGGACACGGCCCCCAGCAACCGCACATTGATGTTTCTCTCTCTTTCTCCCTCCCTTCCCTCTCTATAAATAAATAAATAAATAAATAAATAAATAAATAAATAAATAAAATCTTTAAAAGAAAAAAGAAAAAGAAAAAGGGGAACTCTTCTGCACTGTTGGTGGGAATACAGATTGGTACAGCCACCAGGGAAAGCAGTATGGAGATACCTCAAAAAATTAAAAATGGAACTGCCATTAGACCCAGTGATTCCACTTCTGGGAATTTATCTGAAGAAAGCCGAAACACTAATTTGAAAGAACATAAGCACCCCTATGTTAATTGCAGCATTATTTATAATTGCTAAGACTGGAAGCAGCCCAAGTGTACATCAGTAGAAGAGTGGATAAAGCAACTATGGTAGGTATACATAATGGAATACTATTTGGCCATAAAAAAGAAAATTTTACCCTTTGTGACAGCACGGACTGACCTGGAAAACATTGCGCTAAGCAAAATAAGCCAGTCAGAGAAAGACAAATACCAGATAATTTCACTCATATGTGAAATCTAATAAACAAGCTGAACTAACAAACAATATATAGGTCTGGCACAAATAATGCCCCTCTTTTATTACAAAATCATAATATAATTCTGTAACATAAGAGTATCACATTCACGCACACCATATGATATTTTAGGTGAAATGTTCAAATTGCTATCCATCTCGTGCAAGACATTCACGTACCCTACCAATGACACTCAAGCAAGCCTTACTTCTGCAGACCCTGTAGAAAGACTCATTCATAGAGGGCAGGCAGACAGCTCTGGGGGGCAAGATTAGGGGATGGAGGGATTGAGCAAAAAGGAAAAAGGACTCATGGACATGGACAACAGAGGGGTGATTATGGGTGTGGGGGAGGAATGGGTGGGTGTAAGGGGGATAAACGGTAATGGAAGAAATTCAATTAATTTTTCTTTAAATCGAAAAGACCTTAAAACAAGTTTGAGAAAACTTGCCAAGACAAATTTTATTTTTTTCAGGTTACAAAAATATGTGCATGTCAAAAATACAGTCTAGTCCATACAATAGTTCCAGACATTTAAGTTATACAGAATTCAGAAAAAGCAGTTCATACACAAGTCTTCAAACATTCAGTTCATGAATAGTAAACAACCGCTCAACTTACTTATTGCTAGTTAAATGCAGCTTTTACTTGAGACTGTTCTCCATAAGGGAAACGGCAGTGTTTGCATATTCTGATGACTGGTGCTGCTCTGATTTTAAAAGCCAATCCAAAATCAGAATAAGTTCATTTTGAATGAAGTATAAGATTTGATTAGCATTATAAGAAAGAGTGGTCTAAATTTCAATCCTACCCCTTTCTCCAATTCAATTCTATTTTGTTAATATATCAGAAATACAAGGAGCTGTTTGATGGACAAGTAAATGAATTAGTAGTTTTCAAATGAAATGACGACAAACATTAACTTTGAGTTGTAACATAGAAACAAAGCTGGCATATCTAGCTTAAAAACATTACAATAAATTCAAGAATGAAAAAACATTTAAAGTTTAACCAAAACCCAAAGGTGTTATTTCTTTCTCTTTAGATGTTAGATGTTGAGACATAAAATGAATCAATTTGTTTTTTAGAAGTTTATGGGCTAATGAAGATCTGCTGCTCTCTATTTTCTTATTAAGAAGACAAAGAGCCATTTAACTGTAACATGTTTTAAAATAAAGCTATTTGCTTACAATGCCATATGGAAGAACAAATCATAAATTAAACAATTTTAACTTGAATGAATAAACAAAGATACTGCAGGTCATAATGTGAAACACAGGGAAGGAATCACTTTGGGAGTGGATAATACATAGGAGACTTTTGGCCTGAAGTTCACATGGAAGACTTAGAAGTTAAGGATGTTCCAAAGAGAGAGCAATGGCTTTGTTTCCAACTTTGCTGTCAGACCCTGCTACAGGGACAGGTTTATTGCTGACATTTTATCCCCATTAAATTCTTGAATAAATTGAGACATATATTGCTGTTAAGTATGAGGTAAACTGGAAATATCTTCAAAAATAATTTTTAGAATGTGACACTCATGCCCATTTGGGAATACTACCTTAGTGACTTAAATCCTAAAAACAGGCTACATTTTTAGAAGGCAGAAAACAAGTACCAAAACAAGCCAGCCCTCCTAACTTTTGACCAACCTTGGATCACTATATTTCTCACTGCCTATTCTCCTATGAAAGCTATTAGTCTCAGTACTATTCACTACCTCAAGTTATAAACCTGGAGCTGCCAAGAAAATCTTAAGTAGTTTTGCTTTTAAGTCACTGAGTATGTCCAATACTCAAGAACATGTACCTCTTTAGTAGATTAATTCACTTCATAAGGACATGTAAACATAGGAAACATTATGTAACATGAAAAAAATATCACTAAATATCCCTACATGTGATTCTAATATGTCAGAGTAGTTATGCAAACAAAAACTGGTAAATTTTTCACCAAACTGATATGAAAAGCCTTATACCAAAACCATATTACTAGTGTTTACTGAAAATAACTATGTGTTCTACTACCAAATTAGCCTAATGAGAAAAAAATTACTCCACTTCCTCCCAGTTAGATTGTGCTGATATCCTGTAGACAGTAGTATAAAAGGATTTTATTTTTGCAATACGCTGGGCTCACAGTATGTTAATAAAGATCATATGTTTATAATATTACTGTAAAACTGTCATTAGTGAAATGTATGTAAGGCATGTGAAATACTAGCATTAAAGCTCTTAAGGGCAATAACTAAAACTGGCAGCCACTAGAAAAGTTGCTGCCAGGAATAATGTATCTATGAAATTTAGTTACAGAACATACTAGTTTATCGTGCTTCCACAATGAAATTAATGCACACAAATTGCTGCTGAAACTAATGAACTGAAGGAGAATGGACTTTCACCCCCTTTAGCTACTAGCCCAATCTTGAAAACGGAAACAATCACTTGCAATCTTCCACACAGTGTTGTTAGAAGTAGTCTGAGCAGTTAGCAGGAAGTTCTGATTGAAGTAGTGCTGTCTGTTGCCATCAAACTTCACAGTTCCACTGGTCACAACAAGAACTGTAGTCTGGGCCTGAGTAGCTTGCTCTTTACCCAGACACACACAGAAAAGAGAAGAGGTTGGTTTCTATCTCTAAATAAGCAGATTTTTAGGCTTTAAATAGATTGCTTATGATTTAACACTTAATAAACATTTCATAAACTTTCTTTACTTTGAGCATACTCTTAGGCATGCACACCCAAAGCCAAAAAACCTAAATAACCATTTCAAAGATACTAAAATTATTTTCCACCCAGAAAATTTGGGGGTACTCTAGAGTTACAAAATGAAGAGCTTATATCTAGCACAGGACCATTTGGTTACTGTGTTTATTTATATTTCATTGAATTTCTAAAGGAGCCTTTTCATGTTTTGCTTCTTAAGCTACTGCTGTTTTCAAGAACTACGAAGGAAAAAGAAAACACCCTAACCTACTACTTAAAACACTTAGGACTCACCTAGAGGTTAATCTTATAAATGGCATCATTCCACCTTGAATCTAATTCTGCCTTGTCAAAAGTCATCCTTTCACATAACAAGGTTTTTTTCTGCAAAATTTTAGTAAGTTTTGCCCTGGCTGGGTTGTTCATTTGGTTAGAGCATTTTCCAGATACACCAAGGTTGTGGATTTGCTCCCTGATGAGGGCACATACAAGTATCAACCAATGAATGCATACTTAAGTGGAACAACAAATCAATATTTCTCTCTCTCAATCAATAAAAACATTTGAAAAATAAATTTAGTAAGTTGTAAGAGATACAACACATTAATCATGGATTCTGTATACTTTTTCTCTGGAGACATTTCAGAAGGCAACTATTTAGAACAGGAAAAAAAGTTACTTGGGCCTCTCCATCTACAAAAATCACATTTAGCTTCAATTACTCACATGACTTTTAATAAACTATAATCACATAATCCATCAAAACCTACTAGTGATCTTCTGGAGTGAGACAGATCTAAACTAACATCAAAAGTTTGAGAGCTGAATTTTTCATAATACTTAACTTAGAAAAGTATATTCCTAACAGTAATAGATACTTGCTGCTTTTGGTGTAAAAGCTTAGTGTTCGCTAAAGTAAAACAAAGGAAGTACCTTGAAACACTATGATCTTACCATGAACTGGTTGGCAATCTAACATATTAACCTGGAACTGACTAGAAGGCAACACATCAAAAAAATTAGCTAGGGCTTCCAGCCCTGTAACAACATTTCCATTCCATATTAAAGTGGCCTTGTCAAGATACAGCCTGGTCAGTGCCTAAGAAAGAAAGGACAAAAAAAGAAATATTTTTGTTTCTGGCAAGGCATTTTACAGAAAGGAACTGAAAGGTTATAGGGGGTATTTAACATTTTCATAGTTCTATCTCCATCTCTATTCCCTTGCCCCCTTCAACTGAAGACAGTGTGAATAAGTGTCTCTGCCTTATAACCTTGTCCTTAAATACATTAGCCTACTCTTAATAAACTAGGCAGCTAAATATACTTTTTTCATATTTCACTTTAGCCATAATAAGAACACTGCATCCAAACTGCAAGAGAATTTTAAAATTTTGCTTTTTGTATTTAAGTGATCACAAATTTCAAGCATCTAGAACCCTAACCAGTTTTAGACTCTTTCTCTTTTCTAATTCCGGGAGTTAACAAAGTTGTCTTCTATCAGGCCCTACCTGTACACTTCAATCCTGGTGTTTATATCCATTGAGTCATTTCATGTTTGAACCATTTAATGTTGTGTATGTTAGGAAGAAGTAGTTCCTTTCACTACTCAAACAGCATATTTAATTCAAATGAATCTCCAGTACTTGCTAAAGCAGTTTTTGTAAGTCAAGTAAGTTAAGGTTCCAATATGGAAAAATTCAACAGTTAATTGTTTAGTTACAGCAGTTTAGTGTGTCACAGGACTCATTATTTGCTTAATCCTAAAATTTATCTTGGCCAACACTGATCTTGACTCTGCCTTATCTTTGCTACTTTATTTTTGAAAAGCAACAAGGCACAATAAACATCCACTGTCACATCCTCTGCCCCTCTCCCACACCATCAAACACCAGTACCAGGAAATTATTTTATCTTCTGCCTTAAAAAATAGATTTTCAGAGATAAGATATTAACTTCTCTACCTGCAGCAAAGAAAAAGCTCTCTAAAGTACAATCCTATGCTGATAAAAGATCTAGGCAAGATTGCAGCACAAACTGAAATAATTCCTTAGAAGATACGGCTTAGGGATAAAGCACAATGAAAAGAGCTGACAAAGTGATAAATTGTTCTCTGGAAACTGAAAGTATCCAGGCCATGTAGATACTGGTTATGAGTGACAGCTACAGCGATGAGACTTAATATAAAACTGTCTATTAATGTATGCAATGAAAGGGACAAATCGGGGAACATTCCTTGTAATGTCAGTCCCCTTCATCAGCACAAATACTATTTTAACCAAATTGGGGTTAATTGAGACTGAGAAAATGTAACACATTTAAATAAATGTATGCCAGGTCCTATGTTAAGTGCAGTATTTAAATTGATTCCCATTTACTACCCTAAAAATAAAATGAGGTTAAGAGAGGTTAGCAACTCACCCAAGGTCAGAGGTAAACACAAAGCTGGTATATGATTCCAGAGTCCCCACTTCCATAATACCACACCAATCCTTCCCTAAGCAATGCACCATTAAAGAACCCCAGTTACCACTTTTGCAAGTCAGATAAATTGGCTTAAAAAAGAACTGGTATTTAATGAAGAGTAATAAAGCCTATTAACACTCACCCGTCTTCTTTTGTCCATTGTCTCATAGTAAATATTGACAAATTCCTCAGCAGCTCTACATGCCTGATCTACATAAGTTTTAAAATCCTACAAAAAAAATTTTCAGAACTGTGCATTACCACCCCTCCAAACCCTCACAAACACATAACCAACAGAAGCTGACGATTTATTTCAAATCACTTTGTAGCTTCATACATAGTCCATCATATTCTTCCATATGAATTAGAATATTTTAAAGACTTCGGGCTCCAAAGTTTCCAGTTTTTAAAATTTTTACTACTTTAGGGTATGTATTTTTAGAACATACTCATCCCTCATTTGTGACTTTAGTATTTTTTTTCTCACTTCAAATACAAATTTATAATCTTAGTTTGGAAACTGCTGCTTTATTTAGTATTTGCTTTAGGCTTCCAATATTTTACAAAACATTCATGGTTATAAAAAGTGTTGCAGTCTGAACTTTAAATAAGAGGAGTGGGGGAATTGTCATTGAATAAATAAATAAATCAGGAAAGCTCGAGTTCTCTTTTCAAGAGGTAAGTTATGCCCCAAACCAAAAGTTGAATGGAAAAAGAAGAGTAACAATAAAGTTTAGTAAACTATTTTAAAAATTACGTACTTAGGAAACTTCCTCACATTAACCTAAAAATCCACAGGCATTGGTAAAGAATTAACGCTGTTGGGGTTTTCTCTTGCAGGAAGATTAAGTATTACCCAGCCATTTACCCAGTCCAGCCTGCTATTTGAATTAAAAACTAGTTTCATTTCTAGCTCAAGTGATCCTGAGGTATAAACAGACCCCAACATGCCCGCCTCTTACTACCTCCCATTTCAAGGTCCTTTCCAGCATCCTAAAGAGACTGCACAGCTTCTGGCGGAGGAGGGTCGGTAATTGGGGGTCGGGGGTAGTGAGGGTAGCGATGGAGGGGGCTCCACAGAGAGCGGACCCCTCCGCCCTGGAGCCCGGCGGGCCAAGACCTGATTCGCTATTTGACCAAGTGGCCGGCAACCACTAGCGACCCTCCCCCCAGCCGCCCAAGCCAAGCTCTCAGGGACCCTGCCGGCGGCCCCGACACTCACCACAGCCGTGGCCATTGGGGAGCCTGAGGTAGTCTGTTCAGGCAGAGGCGGCGTCACGACCTCCTCACGGGTCCGGCTCCTTCCGCTGTAGGAAAACCAGATACTAACCAAGATCCCGAAACCCGCCAAACACGCGGAACCCTATCCCCGCCCATTCTCTCCCGGAAGTAGCTCTGTCCGTAGTTAAAAGTATTCCGATGTTGCAACCTTAAGCCGCTCCCCTTTGCTTCCGACTGTACCCTCCCAATCGCTTTTATATTTTCACTTGTTTGATAGTTACTTTGTTTGGAAGAAAAAAAAATCACTTTGCTTTTGTAAACTACATACTCTAAAGTAGCCTCTTGTCCATCCACAGGCCCAGGAACAAGCAACAAACTACTTAAAAGATCCAACAGGGGGACCCCATGGCTTTAGGAGGCGAGGCCAAGGCTACATGAAGACCAATGAGAAACGCGAGGAAAGATATACAGGATCTGTAGCCTATAGGAACAAGGATGGAGCTTGGAGAAGCGCGCGCAATCATACTACGCATGACTGGCAGAGATTTCTGGAACATTCCTGAAAGAATCGATCCTCGTATTAAACCCCATCGCCTCCGTAGTATTCCTAAGATAATTCACTATTTGATTTTGCAGCGCAAAAGGCTCATTCAGTTTCTCCATTCTTACAGCCCTAAAATGAGTATTTGTAGACAGCATCATCTACCCCCTTTACAGCCGACTCGGTAACAATACCTGAGATTTCGAGTAGTGGCAACGAACAAGGTATTTTTCTAAGCATTTTAACCCATATGTGCTTATTAGTTACAATATCACTCAGAGGTATTCATCTATCTGCATTTTACAGTTAAGACACCGAATAATTACGTAACCTGCCTCGGTCATTAAATAGAATTCAAACTCAAGCAATTTACCACTGAAAACTGACTTAACTCCCTAGCATTCTTTAAAACTACTCATTTCAACGCTGCTAACTTCTGGGGATTCAAATAAATCACATGTCTCTATAGTTTTACCTTGAGAAGCTGGCTCGTGGCTCCTCAGAATGACGGTCCCGCCTTCCTCCGTAAGCTTCTTTGCGTCCATGATCCCAGTCTCTTCCAGCACGTCTCATACTTTCAACCTTTTCCCCTCCCCCTCCACGGCCCCTTGGCTGCCTGTCCTTTGCCTCGTTCTAACTGCCGCGGTTCTAACCGCCGCTTTTCTCCTGGTACCTTCTTCCCTCTCGAACTCAGGTCTTACTGGCATCACTTCCGGGGAGTGTTTCGTATTTAAAACCTCCTTCCTCCCACGTGACCTCGATTGTTCCTTGTATGTTAATGACTCTCAATGTCACGTCTCCAGCCGCCGCCTAAGCTCTGAGTTTTGGTTCCACTTTGGATACAAACAACAGATTGCGTTACAGGTTTCTCAAACTTGTACAGTCCAGAATGTAAACTCGTTATTTTCTCTGCACTAAACAGTCTTATATATTCTTTCAGTCAACTATGTTTGTACTCTTGGAACCTTTTTGGGGGGATCCCCCCATTATCATGATTTCTTCATTAATTCAACAAATATTTATTAAGTGCATACTGTGGGGCAGGCACTGAACAAGTTTCTGAATATAGAGTGGTGAACAAAATAGACGTGATCCATAGTTCATGAAACTCACAGTGTAATATGAATGCTAGACAAAAAACCAACGAATTACAGAGGGGTTCCAAGTAACTTGTCCAATTTTTCCGATTCCTTCAAGTAACCTCCCTGTTCCTCTCCTGTTTCTCTCCTCTGTACACAAATTTTTATTTTGATTACTTTATTCTCATTTTTCAAAAATTTTCCTAATCTTTAAAGACCTACCTTGATCTGGTCTCAGTTTACCTTTCCATACTTTTCTTCCATTATTCACCAACATTGGCAACGTTAACTACTACTGTTTGTCAAAAATGACTGCTTTTATTGCTTTATAGGTGATTGCTTTACGTGATCAAAAGTTTAGAATGCGTCTGGTGTTTATTTATGATTTCATTCAATCTTCCCAACTTCTGGAGAGAGAAATATTATCATCTAAATTTTTAAGAATTTAAACAGAAGTTCAAGGAGGTTAAGTTGGCCATGATGACACAGCTAATGGAGCTGGGATTACAACCATCAACTGTCTTTGTTCTTAGACACACTACCACTCAAGCATATGTTTTATACTATGCTTATTTTGAAATGTTTGTTCCCTCCGTTTACACCAGCCCTTTAGGGACCAGAGTAGGTGAAGTCTCTTCCGTGAAGCATTCCTTCATTTCATTATCCCAGAACCCCAAAGGATATAAGCTGTCCTATGGCTATGAGGAGTGGCTATTGCTGTGGGGCAACAGTGCCAGGAGCTACAATAGCGTTGAGTGTCTAAAGGGACAGCTGGACAGTGGGCTCAGGCTGCGGCGTGGCACGGCACATGGTGAGCTGTGAGTACAGGCCTGAGCCTGGAGCGCAGGTAGGGGGTGCTGCCACGCCTCAACCGACACCAGCCGGTGCAGAGCAGAAGCTGGCTCCTCGGGCGCTCTGTCCCAAAGTGGCTCAGGGCGCTCTGTCCCAAAGTGGCTCAGTCCCGAAGCAGACGTAAAGATCCTTTCCAGACCCTAGTGGTACAAGTTCCCTCCTTGCCCAGGGCCGCTACCAGCACCCTCCCCAACACTGCTACCGGCACCCTCCCCCACACTGCCTTTGCCTCTGGCGGTGGCTGCTAGGTCATTCTCGTCTCCAAACCAGCTACCAAAGTTGTCCTCGGAAAACTCAGGTTTTATCGGAACCCTTCTTTACCTAAAGTCCTTTCGTGGCTTCCCTTACCTTAGCCCTGTGTTTCTCTCCCGGCCAGTCAGGCCCTGCACACACGGCCTGCGGTTCAGTCTCCTCCATCAGCTCAGATCCTGTGCTGCATAGGGCGCTGTGCCAGGTGCTCACGGGGCAGAAATCAGAGGTCAAGAAGTTACTTGATTAAAATGTGATAGATGACACATAAGGGACCCAAGTGGAGGGTGGGCCAAGTGCTCACAGACTCTGACTCTCAGAATGTTTCAGCATCAAGCACAACAGGCACGTGCGTATGTGCAAGGGAAAGAAAAAGATGCTTTGATGTAATCAAAATGTAATTTAGAATATGCAATTTAAAACTTTTGGTCACTTCATTCTGGAAGTGAGGATTATTTGTGGTCACATCCCCATGCAGTCAGTTATTCATATGTCCAAAAAGAGCTCTGGACAGACCCAAACTTTTTTCATCTTTTATACTTTACTTTTCTGTCTCTGAAAAAGCAGTAGGGCTCTTGACATTTTTTACAAGTTTTCAAATGTTTTTCAAGACAATTTATGTAAATAGCTTTGAACTCTCAACAAGGAGTCTGCCACTTCCCTCTGTGTTTACTCACATGTTCACCAGTGTGCATGAGTGAAGTAGGTGTCATTCCTCACACCTCCCTTCCAGGTAAAGGGGGAAAAAAGGAATAGCTGAGCCAGAGATGGAGGAAAATCTCAGAGTTTGCACTGAATGGTTGCATAAAATGTTGTTTACTTTTATAGTTGTGATATTAGGATGGGACACTGAGTAAACTGAAAATATAGAAAAGAATGTTGGGATCTGATTGATCAGAGCAGTGAATCTGAACCTTAAGAAAACTGTGTTTGGGAGGAACAAGTGGGAATCAGGTGAATAAGACACAATTACTCTTTACTAGAAAATTGCACATGTGCAAAAAATGGAAAGTGTGACTAGTAAGGGCATGAAAGGGCTTAGAATACTGAATGGCATGTTGGTTAAGCACATTGCTGTTAGCATCAGTTTGGGTTTAAATCCTTGCAATGCCACTGAGTAGCTCTGTTACCTTGGCCAAATCACCTAAACATTCCATGCCTCAGTCTATCAATTTGTAAAATGGAAATGAGAATATTACTACATATTTATTTATTTTTAAAAATATTTATTTATTTATTTTTAGAGAGAGGAAAGGGGAAGGAGAAAGAGAGGGAGAGAAACATCAATGTGTGGTTGCCTCTCATGCGCCCCCTACTGGGGACCTGGCCCACAACCCAGGCACATGCCCTAGGATAGGAATGGAACCGCTGCCTCTCTGGTTCACTGGCTGGCACTCAATCCACTGAGCCACACCAACCAGGGCTATTACTACATATTTAATAATACTCTTGTAGGAATTAAATAAATCAGTGCCATGCATACAGTCCCTGCTTGAGGGATATTATTTTCCTACACGTGGAGGATGAGATTTTGCAGCCACCTATTTGAGAGTATGAAGTTGGGACAGATTAGGTAATACACTTTTGGTGTATTGAGAGGCATCAGTATAGTTCAGGAGAGGAATGGATTATCTGAGATAGAAGATTGTAGGAACAAGAAATTGGGTTAATTAGGATCACTTTTGTCTGTGCCTTACAGCCATCTCTCCTGTTCAGGTGTAGGCCTAAGGCAGGGGTGTCATACTCATTTTCACCAGGGACCACATTAGTTTCAAAGTTGCCTTCAAAGGCCCGAAATAATTTTAGGACTGTATAAATGTAACTACTTCTTAACTGTTAAGAAGTTGAAATTACATTTGGCCCTTTGAAGGCAACCACAAGGCTGATGTGGCCCCTGGTAAAAATGAGTTTGACACCCCTGGCCTAAGGGAATTAAAACTGTTTGGAGTTACCAACATCCCTGTTTGAATCTATACCTTTCTCTTGACTTGATAAGAACTATTCTTTCACAATCAGGTAAGTGATCTGAGCAGTCATCCCCTTCCTCTCAGGTCTGTAATAGACAACCAACCTCTTACATAAAGACTCATACTCTACTAAGTTAGCCAGGTGCCTTTGATCTGTTCACATTAGATAGTGCTTTTTTAAAAAAAAATACTTCATTATTTATTTCTTTATTTTTAGAGAGAGGGGAAGGGAGGGAGAAAGAGAGGGAGAGAAACATCAATGTGTAAAGCTACATCGATAAACATGCCTCCAACTGGGGACCTGGCCTGAAACCTAGGCATGTGCCCTGACTGGGAATCGAACCAGTGACCTTTCAGTTCACAGGCTGGCACTCAGTCCACTGAGCCACACCAGCCAGGGAAAATAGTGCTTTTAAAAATAGGTTTAATCTGATATAATTCCCATTCCATTCAATTCACTCATTTAAGGTGTACAATTCAATGTTTTTTACTGTATTTACAGGGTAATGTAAGCATCACCATAAAATTTGGGAGGTATTGCCCTGAAGGTAACCCCCTTTTCCATTAATGGTCAGTTCCTATTTCTCTTTCACTCCAGCTCCTAGCACCACCAATCTATTTTCTACTTCTATAATTACCCTATTCAGGACATTTCATATAAATTGAATCAAACAAAATGTGTTCCTTTGTTTCTTAGTATAATTGTTTCAAAGTTCATCTATGTTGCAGCATGTATCAATGCTCCATTCCTTTTAATTGCAAAATAATATTCCATTGCATAGCTGTAACACATTTTACTTATTGACTCATCCATTGAAAAACTTTTGGTGATTTTTCCATTTTGGGGGGATGTTATGAATATTGCTTCTATAAACATTTGTGTACAAGTTTGTGTGTGGACATATGTTTTCAATTCTTGGGGTAGATTTCTGGGAGTGGAGTTGCTGGATCATATAGTAACATATTAAAGAAAACAAAAACAAAATTCAGCTGAGTAAATTTTGAAGACCTTACTGGCTTTACTCAATGATTCATGAATTGGGCAGCATCGAATCTAGCAGATTTAAAGGAGCTCTGAGGAGCTTTACAAAATAACAGACTTTTATACACAGAAGGGAGTGGGGGCAAGGAAGTTATAGTAGGTAAAAAAAGAAAAGCAGGTTGGTGATTACAAGGCTGCTTTCCTTTAGGGGATAGCAGAGGTCTATCAGTCACATTATGTAACTAGTGCTGATCAGGAGATTCCTCATTGACTGTTTTAAGATTCCATTTCTGGGAGAGCTGAAATTGTAATTGCCTTAGTTTCCATGGGGCTTAGGGGCCCTGTTTTCTTCTTTTTAACATATGTTTAATGTTGTAAGGCACTGCTGAACTGTTTTCCACAGTAGCTGCACCATTTTACATTCCTACCAGCAATGCATGAGGGCTCCAATTTCTTCACATCCTCACCAATAATTGTTGTTGTCTATCTTTTTGATTATAGCCATTCTAGTGGGTGTGGAGTGGCATCTC